TGGGACATACAAGTATCTATATGTGATATTTACATGTATAATTATGTGTACTGTGCCACTGGCTGCCACACAACCTCACAGCATAATAGATCCACCCTCATGCTTTACAGTTCTTTTCATCAAATCCTTTTTTTCTCCAAACATACCTTTTCTGTTTAATCAGACCACATAAGTTAAGATAAAGTAAGATTTTATGTCTCTCTTTTTTCCCAATATGTTAAATTCAGCAAGTAATAAATGAGAAATGTCCTTAAAAATTTGTGTTGATATGTAATATTTATGTTTGCTCTGTGCAGAGGTGGCATTAACTTCTTTTTACTGAAATCAACAAAATTTGTAATTTGACAGTGTGTTCAAACTTTTGCATACGACTGCATACCAAGCTGACAAAAATGGATTTCATGGGACTTATTCATGTCATTTATTAGGCTATAGTGCAGGAATGATTATTTCATCAAAGTACCGCAAAACAGATTCTTAATCAATCCTAGTACCAGTTCCATACTCTTACATGGAGATCGACAGTTTAAATGAGCTTAACGTTTATTCTTGAAATTATAAACAGGTCAGAAGTAATGTAAAGCCCTTAAACTTCAAAATTAATTCATTAATAAGTTGTTCTAAGCTGCTACAGCAAAGGGTCTGTCTCTGCCTTACCGAACCTTCGCATACTGTATATAGTACATATGGGATATATTGTTAGCATACTTGCATATAAATGATATAGATGGGGCATGTTAAATACATATGGGACATGTTATAACATATAGGTGCATATTTATAATACAACTGGTATGTTATTTCAAACAGGTGTCTATTATTAGAAGTATTGCACATAGGTACTGTAATTCAAATGAGACCTAAGTATGACCTCACTTCCTGACACCGTAACAAAAACAAACCTGTGTCTGTGTGCGCTTGAGATGCCACTGACTTGGCAGAGGTTGCCGTTTTCTCAGAGTGTCTCTCTGTTCTCTCTAAAGTCAGTTCTGGTGCAATTGCCAGAGAGTGAAGCAGCAGCTGAAAACGTTCCCCGCTGAAAAGACCCTTTATGGAACTTTTCGTCTCTTCGTGACACGGCTGGCTGCATGCCTTTTGTCTTAAAAGAAAGAGAGGGAGTGAAAGTGGGAGAGAGAGTGACAATGATGAAAGAGGGAGAGGAGGAGTGAAGTTATGAGTCACGAGGCGTCGTTCCGAAACAGTAATGGAGGCAGAGCTATTGGAAAAGGCAATTAGCGTGTCTGTTGGACACATGTGCCTTGCCTTCGACAGAGGCCAATGAGCTTCAGCAGAATTTTATTAGTTTCGCTGATGTTAGAATGATCTCACTTCCAGTAGAGTCATCCTTTCAGTTTGCATTGCTCTCCATGTGACGGTCCTGATTAGAATTTTAATGGCTTCCTGCAGCCGTCCTTATCACCTCTGGCCTGCATACTGGTGCCTTTGTCTTATTCTTTATTGATGCTTCTCCTTTGCTTTGTAGCTTTTTGCTTCTACTCGTCTCAGCGCTGATAGGCCTGCTCAGCTGAACCTTTAATCTTCAGTTGCCATAGCTGCGTTGCTGGTGACATCCAGCGCTGCCCGGTAATGCTGCGTGTGTACTCGGGCTGGGTGGACTCTTTTATGGATATTAGCATTGTTTCAGTCGTCTGTCCAGGGCCTTCATGTGCTGACTCCTCAAACGGCCTTCTCTTTGAGGTCAGCTTTTTAGGCGATGGGGATGCTTCCTGTAAAGTCACTTTATGCTGCTAAGAGGTTTTGTTCTGACAGCAGCAATATTTTGTGTGTGTGTGTGTGTGTGTATGTATGTATATGTGTGTGTGTGTGTGTGTGTGTGTGTGTGTGTGTGTGTGTGTGTGTGTGTAATATATATATATATATATATATATATATATATATATATAAACACAAATGGGACGTAAAAATATCACATATGGATACTTGTATGTATAATTATGTGTACTGTGCCACTGGCTGCCACACAACCTCGCAGCATAATAGATCCACCCTCATGCTTTACAGTTGGCATGGTGTTCTTTTCATCAAATCCTTTTCTTTCTTTTTTTTTCTCCAAACTACATTATGGTGTTGTGGCCAAAGAAATCAGTTTCTGTTTAATCAGACCATATAGCTTAAGATATAGTAAGATTTTGCTTTATTTTTTCCAAAATGTTAAAAACAGCAGCGATGCTGCGTTGAGTGTCCTTCATGGAGTTTTTGTTAGAATTAATTATGACTGGTTATTAGGGGTGGGCAATGTGGTGATATTCATTATTATTGTGACAAATTAATTTACAGTACGCTTAATGTGGTTATCGCCAGCGCTTCAAAAACACTGCAATAACTGCATATTTCATCAAAAAGAGAGCAGAATTCACGGATTATGTATTGTTTTTCAGAATAAGGGCATTAACGTTGTTTTTGTGCCGTCTCGTCCTGCATCATTTCAAAATCAAAAATGATCAAGAAGTTTGTCACATGGTCACTGATAGGGGTGCAAATCACAGGGCATCTCACGATACGATACTATCACGATACATTGCCCACGATAATGAAGATCTCACGATATTGCGATTCTGTGATACTCGATATATTGCAAGACAATCCTTTATGATACATCTCGATATCTGTGTAACTGAAGAAGGTAAAATGCTCCTAAATAGGCAAATAGCAGGAATTATGTATTTATTAGTGTCAGTATCACAGAATTTGACAACTAATATAAAACAATGAACAACAAAACACATAGCTTAGCTTCATGCCTCTGTAACACACATACACTGACTCCGTGTGTCATCATTCCAATGGAAAATAGCTCTAAACTGCAGAGCAGTTCTGGGGTTAAATCTCTAAAAGCAGAAAACAACTGCGCCTCACTGAAATCTAACTGTCTTTTCTAACAGTTAAAACTGGCCAAGACCATTGACTCATAAGAGGACGGTGACTGTCTGATGTGTTTCGCCTCGTTGTCCACCATTTCTCCCCTGTGAGTTTCTTTTTCATCACCGCAGGTTTACCCTATTTATTTGATTAGCGTCTTAGCGCCACCATGTGGAGTCATGAAGTAGTGAATCTGGTAAATCAAATTGAAGGGGGAGTCCGATTAGAGCGTTTACAGCGCATGCAGTGTATCAATAATGTATCGCAAAAGAAAGCGATACGATATATCGCTGAATCAATATTTTATCACATCCCTAGTCACTAAGTAAGTGAACGTACCACAAAGTCGAGTGATTGGTGTTAGAGTGAAAACCAAAATCGAACGTTATGATGTGTCTAAGCTTTTAGCCATAGCTGAGCCACTGTCATGCGTAGTTTTTCTGATGTTTTTCCTGCCTCTCATTTTTCCCCTCTTTCTATCAGCACCACCAATCAAAGAGCTCCCACACCTCCGATTAGTGACCCCTCTAAAATATAAAGGAGCTTAATTGTCCATTTGGATGTGGAACAGAAGTTTCACACATCATAATTTTGAAATACTAGCATCACTTTGAAATACTGTGGTATACTTTATTATTGTGATATTGCCCAACTCTGGCAGACAGTGGTCCTGTGGTCAGAAACCGACCACTGATAGAGGATGGCAGTATATCATATCTGTAGTGTTTATACATGCCTGATTTGATTTAATCAGCACATACTGCATTTGAGTTAATTAATTTAAAAAACATTGAATTTTATTTAATAAAATTATACAGCAACCCTGTTGTTAGGCCTGCTTAATTGAGTTTAGTGTAGTGCAGAAAGTGAAACGTTGAATAAAAATCATTGTATTCATTGTATTTTTAATTGGATTTTGTGCCACTGCTTGTTCTTTTTTTGTCTTTTGCAACTTATCATACCTCAAACAAGCTAAATATCATGACTCATGTCTTATATTCTGGAATGGTCATGATGTTTTTGCCCTATTGCCCACACATTTTGATTATAATAGTATTCACTGACATATGCACTGATTTCAGGCCAAAATAAAATAAGATTCTTAGGCCTTTTTGCAAAAAATAAATCATCCAAAAACACTAAGCTGCCACTGCTGTGTAATCCTCCAGTCACATTAGTGTTTTCATCTGCAGTTTGACATTTAATGATTCATTGAGTCATTTCCTGAAGAATCATCCTTGGATCTAATTATGAAGTCAGATTTACAGCATCATTGGTGATCTGTGGTTTCCGCTCTGTGGTTGCAGTGTCTGTTTTAGTCCAACTCATTTTGCCGGATTTTTGCTGTGGTCAGTCTGTTGGCTGATGTTTTCAAGTTTTGTTGATTTTGTTATAAATTTCAGCTGGGTGTGGTAGTGGCTCGTTTTGCATAGTGGACACGAGTGTTCGAGTTGTCATGTTCTGTATAAAGGACAATGGCTTTTTTAGAGAAGAAGCTTCTATATATATATATGTGTGTGTGTGTGTGTGTGTGTGTATATGTCTATATGTATACTTTGAACAGTTTCAATCTGCTTGGTTTTTGAGTGTAAAATTATTTGGAATTTCTGTGTCTTTTGAATAGGTATATCGTAATTTCTAAAGTTCGGATGTGTTTCATAGGTGTTATATGATTTTGTAGGATCAAATCCCAGCTGTGCCATGCAACATCTGCGGCTTAAGGGCCTGGGAAAATGCAGGCTTGCAAAGACAGTAAATTGAAGAACTTGTATGAAAACGTGTGTGCTCTACTACTTGCTTACAACAAAAAACAACTTTGTAAATGTTTTAGTTGTTGAGTTGTCACAGTTATGCATATTTTTATTGCGAATTTGTTCCATGTTCTTCACAACACAGACTGTATTATTAGGCTAAGCTGCAGCGCCACAACAGTGATCATGGGGGAAACATGTGACTAAAAGAGTCAATGGAGCTCCAGTCATGCACACATATGGCATGCTGTGCCAAGGCCTGAGAACGGGGTCAGTGAGGGCTGTCTGTTTTTCTGTCTCATTTTATTTGGCTAACACTCTCTCTCTCTCTCTCTCTCTCTCTCTCTCTCTCTCTCTCTCTCTCTCTAGGCGTGGTGGTACCAGTGCTGGTGCTTTGAGGGAGACTTGCTCTCCTGTGTTTTTCGCTGCCCTGATGCCCCCCTGCAGCGCTGTTGCTTCATGATCACATGACCGTGGATATGGACGCAGTCCTATCCGACTTTGTCCGCTCTACAGGAGCCGAACCTGGACTAGCCAGAGACCTGCTGGAGGGTGAGAGCCACTGACCACACTTTCGTACTTCACAAATAGTGGGCGGTTTGGCCAAAAATGTATATCACGGTATAGTTAACATTTCTGACGGTTTTTGTATAAATCACAGGTCAGTGTGTTTATGAATATTCTGGTCAAAACAAACCATTTTGGATGCTTAAGTAAACGTAGTTTTGAAGATAAACAGTGCCATTTTATTTTGGGATGTTCCTTCGCTTTTAACAAGCACCATATTTAACAAATAAAATACATCTAAAATAGTTTATTGGGTGAAATAGGAAAAATGGATATGAACAATATATAGACAGATTTCAATATTGCCTTTCGAGATAAAGGTGCGTCCATAAGCGCACAGCAGCTTCTCCGACCTCAGCAAAAAGGTGTTGAATGTTATTTTCCATCTGAATATCTCGCATCATTTGTTTCATACCTGCATCTCTTACTCTTGACCTTCTACGAGCATCAGACACTGCTGGAATTTGGTCAATTTTGCAAGACATTCATGTTATCAGTGATAGCTGATTAGCTGAGAGGCTCTTGGCTTGTATTGAGGACCAACTGATTTATCATGCAGTGTGTTTTGATAGATTACAAAGAATATTGCAATCACTGTATGTAGAAATAATACAGTTGCAGCATTTGTCCATATAGTGCAGCCCTAACCTGACTGCTGAGCACCCACAGGCTGGGTAAAGCGACCACCTATGGACCATTGTTTTGGTGTGCCCTAGGCCTTTGCCTGGTTAATCGTTAATGGTTAATTGCAATAATGGTTCTCAAGCCCTGGCAAAAGCTCATTTACTGTTGGTTTAAAACAAATAATAAAAAACTGTGTTGCTCTTTTATTACTTTATTTCATGCAAACCATAGCAAGACACCAGTGTTCCCACATCTGGAATGGAGCTTTAAAGCATGTTGGGTGATGTAGTATCCTGCAGTAATGGCACAGTTTTTGGACCCAATATTGATGAGATTATTCAAGAAGAACGGCTGTTGAGCTGCACTGGTTGACAGCATAGTTTGTAAGCTTTCCTTGTTGAACTGTGTCCGTGTGGAGATGCTGGAACTGGAGGTTAATGCGAAGAAGTCTCCCATTAACTGTCAACCACAGTTATTTTCCACACAGTTATCCAAATAAGAGAGCACTGATAGCACCACAGGCCATCGTGGCTTGTAGAAACAGACAATCCACAAAACCAGATCCGTGTGAAACAAAGTGTTTCACGAAAGCTCAGACATGTTGACTTCTTCTTAAATAACTTTTAATGATGGGACAGTTTGTAAACTTCGCAGACTTGGTTTCAGTCCTGTCATTATAGAAAATGGATAATTATATAACAGTTATCACAGTTAAATTGTTGCTGTAAAAAAGGCACAACATTAATTTTATGAACATGTCATTTGAATAATTGAATAATAGTTTTGAATAATTTTACTCTTGTTTTTTGTTATTATTTTTTATGTTTGCAGTCTGGAATCACAACATTACTCGATGCCCTTCCCTACTTTTCGGGGCTTTGATCCAGAAAGCAATGGGCCTTCTGTGTACCGTGTATCTGTAGTGAAAACGATGGCTGACTCCCTCTGAGTTCTTTGCAGTCTGCCAGATCAGCTACATGCACGAGTTCATAAGCTAGAAGCCAGTCGTTTAAGTCCTCCAAGCCGAATGTACGCAGTGAGGTAAAGCCAGGACAAACTCGATGCATGTTGCTTAGCAACGCTCCTTGCAGATAAGGATATGAGTTTAAAAATATATTGTCCTGCAGCATGCACCGGCAGCGCACGCACCGCAGAGCTCTGTTTGATCAGGCGGCTGCAACGGAATGTCTCTCTGCCGTGCGCCGGCCGTATTGACATTCAGTTAATATTCAAATTCACGCCCCCTCCCCGTCTCTCACACAGGTGGAAGGATGGCCTCTTGCGCAGTCTTCAACATACACCAGCGAATAAGAACCCTTTATTAATAACACGGTCTTTTTCCCCACCTCAGGCAAGAACTGGGACCTGACGGCTGCACTGAGCGATTTTGAGCAGCTGAGGCAGGTGCACGCTGGGAGCCTGTCCTACACGTTTTCAGAGGAGAGGGAGCAGGCCGTGGCCGAGAGGGACATGGCCAGGGTGGGCCGGCCTCTCCTGCACCGGCAGGACGAAGTGGTGCAAGGTACAGCCACACTGCTCTCTGCTGCTTGGCAGTAAAAAAATAACCTGCTGTTGAGACTTTTATCGACACAATGTGCTTCACACTCTCTCCCTCTTCTGGTCTAGAAATATGGAAAATGCAATATGTGTGATGAGGCGTGTAGACTTTTTACAGACGTACCTGTTAGCCTTCTAAAATTTGTGCAGTATAATGCAATGTAGTTACAGCACTGTTACATTTTATAAATGTGTTCATTTTTGCATGTTTAGTTGGGTACATTTCTCTAAAGTTGTAACAATTTCAAAACAAAACAAAAACTAAAATAATTATAATTTGAAACAGTGTATTGACATTTAATTAAGCACCAGAGGAGCATTTTATTATAAATAACATCATGGCTGTGTTTTGGTCGCAGGCATGAGCTGCAGACGAGTACCATGGATCATCACAGCCGTGACGTTATTCGTGATAGCATTCTCCCTCTCGTGCTCTAGTGCTTTTATACAACAGTTCTGAAATAGATTAAAACATGTAAAGCAAACAAGCCTGAGTATTAAATCAAATGTGCTTTAATATCAGCAGTTCATTATGCCAAAAAGCATCTATTTGCACGACGGGCGGTGTGGTACTGGATATACGCTAGAAATTTGAGAGAAATTTGATCTCTCCTCGATTTCTTAAGAGATAAACGTCAGAAATGTATCAAACCTACATTTTCTCACTCCTAAAAGACAGAGAACAAACTACAACCAAATATATTTTAAAATGTCTGTCGTTAAATTTCTCTCAGCATAACGTTTCAGAAACAGATCACTGACGCTTTAGTCATTAAAGACCATCTAAACAGTGCAAGACATATTTCCCATGTATTTAAGTAAAGAAGATGAAATCATTTAATCATTAGTAAGGAGAGTAGCTTCCCTTAACTTGGGTTTGTAGTTGGCCTAAAGGAAGCCACTTTCTTTACTACAAGTGATTTGATGAGATTTTGCCTTCTTAGAGCTAAATACATGAGAAATAAAACTTAGAAAGGTGTCTGCACTAGGCACTTTGTAGACAGTCCCTTAATGACGAACCATGATGTTCAGCGAAATTTAAAAACGGACGTTTTTGAAGTATATTTGGGTGTAGTTTGTTTTCTTTCTGCTTAGGAGTGAGAGGTTTGATCACTTTGGAAGCTATTAGTCATAAACCCATGTTACATTTTATATGCATTAAAGTTTAGGTTTTTTGATGTAAGTATTTATGTATGTAAAGTCTTTTTGGCTAGTTGTCCAAGATATACATGCTCTCCATCTCTCTGATCAATATGACCTGATGTATTATATCCATGTGTTGGTTTTCAGCCACGGAGAAACGGCTATCTCGGGGAATCTCTCACGCCAGCTCCACAATCGTGTCACTGGCCCGCTCTCACGTGTCCAGCACAGGCTGTGGTGGCACCAGTGAGCCGCTCCTGGACACACCTCTCTGCACCTTCCAGCTGCCTGACCTCACCGTCTACCGGGACGACTTCCGCGGCTTCATCGAAAGGGACCTTATCGAGCAGTCCATGATGGTGGCTCTAGAGCATGCTGGTCAGTCCCTTCTGTCATTCTAGTGTACTTCTGTTAAAATTAAATAAATACATTTGAAAATATCCAGAGAATTTTATTTTAACAAAATAATAGATGCTGTTGAATATTATTGATATGTAATCAATTTTAACATTCCAAAATCAGAGCAGTTCACCACTATAGATGCATTTTTACACCCCTGTTAGGCAGTGCTAGGTGAAGATGCTCAGTCTCTTGCTAGAGCCAGGAAACACAAATTAGAACCTGTATTGTTCTATTTTGTTGAAATATTATGACAGTATAACAGATCATATAAAAGCTTATAATTATGTTTATATTCAGTACATTTTTGTTAGTTTGGTCACTTTGTGAATATTCCAGTTGTTCATTTAATACTGCATAATATTGAATAAAACCAGTGTTCAAAGTCTGTGTTAACCAAAGTGTTGTTTCTGTGCAGGCCGGCTAAACTGGTGGACAAAGTTGGGTCCAGGCTGTCAGAGTCTGTTGCCTTTGGCTACTAGTGGAGATGGAAACTGTCTCCTCCACGCTGCCTCTCTAGGTGAGTGTCTCATCTGTCCGCTCATCCAAAGATCACCTTAGAACACCTGAGGACACACACACTTCTGAACTGGCACAGGGGTTAAAGTTACCTCTCAGTGACCTCTGGTCATTACACAGAGCCTGTGAAGTGCCACACAGTGGCCAGCACCCTCAAAGCACAGTAGTTTTAAAGAAACACTGTACGCAGTATGCTAACAAAATCTGCTGGTTCAACTTCATCATGTAGTTCTAGTAATGCTAACAGAGTTGATGGTGGTGACAACCTCTTAGAATGGTCTTCGTGTTATGATGCTTTTTGAAAGACCTCATTGCTGGACCAGTAGTCGAAGAGCCAAGACGTTTTTGGTGTAGCACTGCAGCTACGAGGCTAAAGTTGTTAATCACTAGAGATCAACAGTCACCCAGATCTTTTCTGAAAATACATCCCCAAAACTTCTCTCAACCCACTCGATCCACTTCTAAGTCTTTGTTAACTTTGTGCAGAATTGTGGATGTGCTTTAGGACGCAGTGTGTGTGAACTATACAATTAACGAAGCTTTCCCAGCATTGCTCAACGATGCAACCGGCTATTTTAAACAATGATATTTCGTCGAATGCTGCCTCCTCCACGGATCTTGACTCCCCTTCACGTTCAGGTGTGCCATGCAGGCACTAAATGCCAGGTTACATTTGCGATTTCCATTGCTTCTTTCTGTAAACATATATCTATAGTTTGCATGATAAAAGATTAACAGTTCTTCGCCACAGAAATCAACAAAGCCTGTGTATCATGCAAAGGAGATTGGAATTCATCTCCTGTTTTATAAAATGACTTTCCGCCAGCTTTTATCTACACAGTAAAGTTTTGTTCATTTCTATAGGTGTCAGTTGACAGTAAGTCTTATTGTGTCCTAAACCACATCAACAAATCTGTGAAGACCTCGACTTGGTTTGAACAGGTTCAGAGATGTATTAAGAATGTATTTACAGCAATGATTTTGAGTGACTATTGACTTCCAGTGTTTGTTAGCAATGTTAGCAATGTTAGCCTTGTAGCTCCAATGTTAAACAGAAGAACTTTAAATCTGTACCTTGATTTGAATCGCAGTGCTTTGATAATATAAACGCTGTGGCGCTATAATAAATTATATGACAGCTTAGATTTCCTATGGAATTCATTTTTTCAGTTTGGTATATTTTGCATGGTTACTTTATGAAAAGCTGAACATGTTTTGTGTGCATTATGTAGTGGCACCTGTGTGATAATCTGAAACCAGTTAAATAAAAGTAGGCTAAAGTTCATACTTTACTCATATATTTGTATTCATTAGAATGTAAAAAGACAGAAGCTGAGAAGTTTCATAAATATGGACCTGAATCTCTCACCTCTGTGTAGGTATGTGGGGCTTCCACGACCGTGATCTGATGCTGCGGAAGTCGCTCTATGCGCTCATGGACCACGGCCAGGAGAGAGAGGCACTGAAGCGCAGGTGGAGGTGGCAGCAGACCATGCAGAACAAAGAGGTCAGTGCAGGCCCACTTGCTGTGGTCAGCATTCTTAATTAATTAATTAATTAATTATGGCACCTTTTGAAGTTTAAAGGTTGTAAATTACGATATATACACTGTAACTTCATCTTCTGTGGGTGAGGGACCATTTGAGCTGTTTATTTTTTGGATATGGTTGGTTTAGTTGGATGCGTTTGACTCTTTGACCAGATAATATCTGCATAATGAAGCTTACAGTTAAACCCTACACTACTAGCCTGCATTCCTCCCATTTGCCTTTGTGTGTGTCTGCAGTCAGGGCTGGTGTACACTGAGGAGGAGTGGCAGAAGGAGTGGAATGAGCTGTTGAAGCTGGCCTCCAGTGAGCCCAGGATACACTACAGCACCAATGGCACCAACGGGTTAGTGTACCTGAGTGATTGAGCTACTTTAACTACCTTCTTTTCTCTTTTAAAGGAATACTCCACGTTTTTCAGCTTAAACTCAGTCTGCTGCATCTATAGCATACTCTCAGTTACAACAGAAATGAATTTTGACGTATTTCCTGTATGTTTCCATGAATTCAAAACACACTTATTACTGAAGGCCTCTAAAGTTTTGTTGCCATTCTGTAGTCTGCGTCATTTTAGGAGCTATGAGTCAAAGCTGATTTCTCTATGAAAAAAAGGAATGGATTATATGGAAAATCACTGCTGTTGCATCTTGTGGTAAACAAAAACATCTTCTAAAGCCAATACATTTGCTGCACGGACAGTTTTCCTCCAAATCTTGCCAGATTCTCTGAGTTATGAGGGGAAATTCACTGTTTTTTTTCTCTACGTAATTTATTTCTTTTAGATGTAAACAAAGCTATTCTGAGTGGTTTGACGTGAAATGGTGCATTGTAGAAGAACTTAATACTGATTTCTTTACAATGGCACATTGTCTACAACACAAATATATTGTATTGACTATCAGAAAGACCTTTTGAATTTTATATGTAATACTAACAATGGTAAAATAGTGTTAAATCTGAAAACATTGTGTATTATTTTGCCTCCTGGCACTCTGAATGTGCCTGTCCACTTTAAATGGTATCTTAAATATCACTGTTGTCGAAAGAAAACCTTGTATCTCCAAAATGGTAACTTTACAGGAGAAGGAAAAAAACATACTTTTAATGTAAGTCAATGGAACCAGATTTTTTTCCCATGTGATTTTGGGTCACTTCTTTTAGTCCATTCATCTTGAAACTTGTATACAATGTAAAGGGTAACAGGTATTTTCAAATTATGCTAAAAAATGAAAAACATCAAAAATGGAGATATGAGGTTTTCTTCCGACAACAGCGATATGTTTTAGGTCATATCAAAATCTATATAGAGTACTTTTAGAACACTATGAAACAATGTCTCTGGCAACATTTGCACACATTTCATATAATAGCTTTCAGCATGGGAGCCTTTAGAAGCATTAAACTCTTCAGACGTCTGGTTCCTATGGCCACCACTGTGAACAGATGCAGCAGATAGAGCATAGGTTGAAAACTGCCTTATTATTCCTTGTCAGTCACAAAAATGATTTTCAATGCAGAAGTGTTGCAGCTGGGTTTGTTTTACCAGAGGAGTTTCTGTAATGTAATTTGTGGGATTTGACTCGCTGTTCCCACAGGATGAAGTATCCCCAAATAATTTCCCCAAATTCCCACAGATAGCCTGATTTGAAAGGTCATAGCCCAGATGTTCACATCAGCGTTATGCATCAGAACACACTTAGCAACAGTAACAGTGCATGGCTGTGTCTGTTAGCCACTTCTGTTTTTCTGTGCAAAAGATGGAAAACTGAGGTCTGGAGTTCAGCAATGTTTGGGGATTTCCCTGCTTTAACACCTTCACTGATCCTGACAGTTATCTGCTGTGTTGAATCAGGTATGTTAAAACAGGAATATCACCAAACTGTGTAGTATTCCAGCCCTGCAGGAGTGGAGTTCCCCACTCCTGCATTAGCGTGAGGTGGACTGTAACTGGACCACTATTACTGTCTAAGCTCCATGTTCAGCCAAGTACAGAAGGCCTTTCACTCAGTTATTACTGTCAGAGGGTGAAAACTACACCACAGATCTGTTCTGGATTAATCGCCAGCTCAAATGTTTTTTTCAAAACAGGGCTCTTTTTTCTTGAGGTTCACTTATAATATTTGAAAGGTTTTACGTACCAAAAATGGTCATAAATGACTTTTGCATGACCATTTTCCAATCTCTCTTTATCACCTAGAAGTAAACATGCTGTTTTGTTACAGAGCTCCGTTCTGATTATCTGGAATTCTCTCTCTTTCAAAAAGCACTCAGAGCTAAAACACTCCTTATAACTTCAATAGGAATGTGCAGCGCTAAATTACTGTAAGCTGAATATATGTACATAAGCTGGTTCTTGTGACATGAATTCGAAACAGGCTGTTTTTGCAGCTTAGTTTCCATAAAAGGACCATATGGACCAGGAGTGAATGTTACGTGTTGAAACTTCAGCAGTGTTTACATGTTATTTTTGACATGTTACAATGAATCATGTAACTTTATTGTAAAAAAGGTGAGGAAAATCGGATTTTCCATGATACGGGCCCTTTAAGCAATGTCAGTGGCTTCCATGAAATCTGCTGTCTAAAATATAGTAAGCCAGAATATTTGCTGACTTCTTTGCATGTCTCTGTTGTGCAGGGCGGAGTCACAGGAGGAGCCGGTGTATGAGAGTTTAGAGGAGTTCCACGTGTTTGTGCTGGCTCATGTGCTTCGCCGACCTATAGTCGTGGTGGCTGACACCATGCTGAGAGACTCTGGAGGAGAGGGTACGACACACACACACACCAGCCAGGCTTCCCCCTTCACATTGCTGACTTTGCTCAGTTCCAGTTTTCAGGTTTACATTACCAGGCTGAAGTTGCACAAATTGCCTTAATTGTGACAGATCTGAGAGCTGTGCAGACACGCAAATCTGATCTTTGCAAACCAGATCTGAGCCACTTTCATATGTGGTCCTAGATCTGACACTTATCTGATTGTTATCAGATCAGAATTCATGTGTATTTTTCACTGCACAGGCGTCATCATTAGAAATAAAGTTACGAAGATCAGATTTGAATAAAAATCAGGATTGAGCAGAGAGGCTTGTAATGTGAACATAGCCAGAGTGGCTTAGATCTCATTTGAAAAGATCATATTTGTTTGTCCACACTGCTCTGAAAACATCAGATTTGTGCTTCTACTTCTGCAAAAGTTTGGGTGTCCTGGTCACGTTACATGATTTGCTGATTTTCAGGTGAACTTTAAGTAAATCCTCTACAGAGAACAAACTAATATGTTTTAATGCACAGTTACTGCTTATTTACTGACTTAATAAACAGAACATACTGAAAAAATGGTCACTCTTTATTTGGATGGTTCCCTATAAATGATTTACAGATACTTATATTATTAACAAACTTTTTGGTGATAGTTGATTATCAACAACATTTAGCATAGGGTTAAGTTTAGGAGTAGGTGTAGGTTTTGCCTTGAGGTTAGGGTTAGGTTTAGGAGTAGGGTCAGATTTTATAGATTCTTTCACACGCAACTTCAAGTTAATTTGCAGTTAATAGATATTTAGTTGAATGTTACTTGAAGATAAATGGAGCATCCAGAAAGTATCTACAGTGGACCATCCAAATAAAGTGTTACCAAAAAAAAACTATGGCCTGTGCAAAGGTTTCCATTTACCATGTAACGTTTTATGTTTTATGGGCTGTGCAAAAGTTGTGGCACGGTTAATATTTTAAGTTTTATTTTCCATATGTTAGCCTCAGCAACTCAATAGAAATCGTGCCCCAGATTTTGCAGACAAATTTGCAGACCACATTTAGGTTTGTTCTCTGTAGAGAATGTGTTATTTTCACTTACCTAATCAATGAAACATTTAATTTGACTGAGGGTGTTCAAACTGTTGTGTATGACTGTTCTTAGAAAAAGAAAACAAAGTTGGAAAATTTCAATCTTTAACCATTCTTCCCCGACATCTAGTCTTATTGCAATAAAAGGAAGGCCTATGGTTAATTAGCCAGTGTCAGCTGCGGTGTGCTGCCAGTTGTTATAGTAAATAAGCAAAAAAAATAATAATAATGTGAGGTCAGCAATTGTATGTTGTCTTTAAGCCTTCCTAGCATGTTTATGCTGTTACTTTGTGTAATTTGTTTCTTTTGATCCTTTTCAGCTTTTGCTCCAATCCCATTTGGTGGGATTTATCTTCCCCTGGAGGTACCGGCTAACAAGTGTCACCGTTCACCGCTTGTCCTAGCCTACGACCAGGCTCATTTCTCCGCACTGGTTTCGATGGAGCAGAAGGACAGCTCCAAAGAGCAAGGTAGGGTGGTCATGACACTTTTTAAGTGCAGGAAGCCTTATGAGGGTGTATTTTTAGCTGTGAACTTGTTGCAGCCCAGTGACCTAATTCAGGGTTATGAGTATGATTTAAAGTCTAGACACTTACAAAGGAACAACTGGTTATTATCATCCTCTTTATTGTCTGACTACTGTGTCTGTGCTTTCACTAGGACTGAACAGTATTTACCGAATACTGTATTTACAGAATACTGTTACAGAATAGGATCAGTAAATGGCTTGACTTGATTTGCCTGAGCTAAGGCTGCTTTCACATCTACCTTGTTTTGTTGCTGACCTGTCAAATTTTTTCTTTAGTTCAGTCTGTTTTGACGAGTGTGAAAACTCCACCCACACTCGGGTCCACACCAAACAAACCGTGGTCTGACAAAAACTGTGGGTCGTAATTCAGTTTTCTGATGGAGGGAACACATTTTTAAGGTGGTCCATGACAAATGAGCTCATCTCCCTCTCTAGCAACACGTCATTGCTGTACAGTCCACATGATCTGCCTGTTTTAGCATTTGACTCTTTACAGATTCTCATATCGTGCAGCACAAGCTGCTCTTAATAACGACAGAGGAGCAAAAGCAAAGCAGTCGATTTTGCCAGATGGACTGCGGAACATATTTCTAACAGGGCGGGTCAGGCATCTGATTGGTTGAGCTCAAACCGAAGCGAAATTAAAGCAATTGATCACAAGGTTTATTTTTATTACTCAGATTGTGAGGTGTCTAAACATTAAATTTCTCTTTTTTTTCATGCAACATTTTTAATGACTACATATATAATGTTTGATCAGGGGTTCCCAACCAAGCAATCATGCCCCACTAAACTCCATATTTTGAACATGATTTTATGTGAAACTAAATTTCGAGTGCACTGCTGCACTGGTAGCCACGCACCCCCATAATAAAAGGCTACCTGAACATAAAAGCGGTTGCATGCATCACTTGCATTTTAGAGATGCGCTGTATGTTGTAGGAGGATAGATTAGCAGAACCTTCCAAAATTGTAAGATTTGGTAGATTTTGTTGGTTTTCTGTAAATGTGGCTCTCCGGCTCATTTTTCCTGAACATGAGGCTCTTTCGAACAGATCTACCATAAATCTTTTGCCTCATATTTTTCTTAGCTGTTTTTCCTGCTATGTGAATGTGCGGTTATATTTTTGATTGGTGCTTTTTTTTTTCTTCTTCATTCTTGTCTTCCATGGGTTTTTGGATGGGTGTTTACAGCTCCAATAAAATGTTCTTCATTTATGTTAGCCTTCAGATGAAAGAAGCATGAAATAGCAAAATGCATGCACTTATGAGGCCATACAGCGATGGTGATAAGTTCAACATTCCATAAAATTGAATGGGAAGAATTAAGCCTTAAATAGAATTACATTACATTAATGATAATAATGAAATGGTGTATTTCAGCTGTTAGATGACTAATCCCCCTGCTCATTGCTGCGTTACTGCAGCCCAGTATCAAACGTTCCATGACCTGGTATTGATCTGTAGCACAGTGGTTGGGAATCTTGAAAGTTAAAAAAAAGAGAAGTAGGTCTTTTATTGGCAGTAACTGGGGAAAATGTGAAAGTAGCTGAGCGCTTGTTTCCCCACCAAACTACTGACCAATTGCATGTATTATGTGCTGCACAGTTTTTACAGTGTGAAACCAACTGAACCAAATTAAAAAGACAGTGTTACAAAAACTCAAAACTCTGATGTCGACATGAGCAAACAAACTAAACTGTAAATTTGTCACACAAAAAAATGTGCTATTAATCTTGCAGAGGTCAGTGTTGACATAAGAGTTACAGAGTCATATATTGTGCAGCTCTGCTTTATACAGTTGGTTCCCAGTCCTCAGGGAGCTCCATCATGTCTACATTTTGTTGGTGGTGGTGGAGGAGAAAGGTTCTGTGAATGTGTGGAGAATTAAGGTTTTATGCTGTTGGGTCTTTAAAAATGAAGCATTAATACAGCAAAAAAATATACTGTACTAACTACAAGCTTTCCTCCCTTGCAGTGGTGATTCCTCTGACCGACTCGGATCACAAGATGCTGCCTGTGCACTTTGCTGTGGACCCGGGCAAGGACTGGGAATGGGGCAAAGACGACGCCGACAACGTGATGCTAGCCAGGTGCGGGTTCAGTTATGCTTACTGCAATTCTTATAGTGGATGCACTTACGGTAGGACTGCTGAGAGTGGCAATGGCACCATCTGATCTGTCTGACCTTGTGGGTCACATCGGTTAAAGCATTGATCTAGGATCAGTTATGGCTTTCAGATGCTTATGAGGTCGATCAGATGGGTAAAGAGGAGCTGGTTGTGCACTGTAAGATGCTTGATAAATGTTAAATGTGGGCCTGTGAGCTGTAGAGTGACTCAGGCCTCTGAGTCAGAGTTTGAGCAGCAGTAAGCACACTAATGCCAGGCTGGGCTGAATACATTATCCAGAATGACAGCAGTGGCTTCATGTGACTTGGGGCCGCATTCGCAAAGAACAACAGGGCAGATTCCAGTTCAGAGCGAAAAAAAAAACTTCAACGTCCTGTGCTCTCCTCTGCCTAGCCAGTGTGGGGCGGATGGATATGTGTTTGTTAGGGTTCAGAAATAAAATTTAAAAATCAGGTTAACTCCAAGCAGAGCCAGTATTTTAATGCGTCATTATAACATTTCTAAACCAGAGAAAAGCAAAATGAAAAGCTTGTTAATTCTGTTCCTTTAACAAATGCTGTAAGTAGACCTATTGTAATTCAGTGGTCGGTTTGGAAAGCTGTTGGAAAGCTCAACGTTATACTCCTTATATTTTCATGATAAAAACAATGCCAAAAAAAAAATCAATCCAAAATAATACAATGCCAAACAATGTATAAAAAGCCTGGAGACGAGACAGGGTGTGTGGAGTCAAAAAATGATCAAAAAAAAATTATCATTTCAATGGTTTATGGTACAATTATGTTCCCTAACTAAAGGTACTGAGATGTATCCTTGAGGGTACCACCCCAGAGGGGTACTGCCCCAGTGACTGTTTCATACCTTTATTTCTGAGAGTGTAAGATTGAACTTTGGAGGTGTGGAAAAATACAGATTTCTTCGAAAAACTGAAAAAACGATTTCTGGAAGAAATGGAAGCTGTAATAAAGGCAGCGAGTGGACACACTAAATATTTTTGTATTTGTATATTGTATTTAGCAGAGTGTTGTTGGTAGAAGATTTTTGCCACATAGTAGTGAAAGTCTGAAGAACAGGAGAAACGTAGTCCTGGATCAGCACTGCTCTATTTTAAGATGCTTTGTGGATTCCGGCCCTGCTGTCACTGGCAGGGATTGGCTGAGGCACTAGATTAGCAACTCTAGTCCAGTCGTTAGTAGAGATTATCTCTAAATGCTTACTATGAACAGAACACAGGGGAACCTGCAAATAGCACAGAGCTGTTTATATATTGTCTAGAAGCATCAGTTACCGTTTCTATTGGGGCAGCATTTGAGTGAGTAGTTTTCTGAATGTTATAATAAAAATAACAGGAATTATTGTTCTTTCAGTAGAATTTTTCAGCAGAATTAAGTGTCTAAAAACCTTGTGCTTTTTCTCACATAGCCACATATACTGGGTTAATTGTCAAATTATGTTCTAATATTTATTAAACCACTAGAAATTAGATCTTCATTAATCCCTAATAATAATATAAACCTGTAACCTTCACAGACCTACCAGTAGGTCCATTTCGGGTTTTGCATGTAGCTTTAGGGTTATTACATCTGATTCATTCATAGTCAAGTAATCATCAATAAAAGGAGTATTCTGAGAGACTTATATTAAGCTGGGCCTAAGCCATCTGTTATCTTCTCTTCCAGTGTTACTTTATCTCTGGAGGCGAAGCTCCACCTGCTGCACACCTACATGAATGTGACATGGCTTCCTCTACCTTGTGAGGTACAGGTGAGCTTCTTAACCTCTCTTCAGCAGACATACCTGAGCAAGAGTGATACCTGTTTAGCTGGAGGCTTATTATTGCAAGAATGTGTGCTTAAATGTTTTTGCTGGATTTCACAAGACACAGCCTTTTTAAAAGCTAACGTGACTCCTGCTTTATCCAGTGGAATTTAAGAGGTTTCTGTTTAATGGCTCACAAACTGGTGCCTCTAAAGGCAAGAAAAACAAATGAAGGAATTTCACAGCCGGTGATTTATTTTGTTTTCGGAATGAAAGGGCTCCAGTGTTAAAATGAAAAGAGTTGTTTACTTGAAATCAGCGTTCTGCTACCCCTCCCTCCCCACCCCTTTTTCTGTGCACTGTGGAGCTTTTGAAAAGGTCTGCCTGCATTTGTTTGCCAGTTCAACCATAAAGGAATTTCCCCAAAAATGCTAAGATCGCTAATTACCAATAAAAGCCAATCGGTACCCTTTTGCTGTACCAACTTTCTATGTCTGAAGTGGTAAATTTATAGTAGACAGAAAAATAGTCTTAACTTTGAATGTATGTTTTTATTCAAAGTAATTTTGCTTTTGAGTTTGTTGATCCATTTATCATAATGGTTGAAACAGATTTCAGAGGTTTTGATATGAAAGCAACACTTGTTGATTTTTAGCAGGGTTAGAATGGTTAGTTTAAAGAGATAACTCACCCAATATGCTAATACATTGTCTCTCTGCCCTCCCGCAGCAGGCTCCCCTTGCCCAACCAGAGTCTCCGACAGCTTCAGCAGGAGAGGATGCCCGTACGCCCCCTGACTCCGGAGAGTCGGATAAGGAGTCTGTGAGCAGCAGCTCAAACGGTAACGGGGACAGCAGCGCCACAGGGAGTGGTGGAGCAGCAAAATCTGGAGGTGGATCCTCCAGCTCCTCAAGCTCATCCAGCAACAGCTCCGCCGGAACGACTGGGACATTGGGCAAAGAGAAGAAGGACAAAAAGGACAAAGAGAAGGACAAGGACAAAGACAAGAAGCGGGCAGACTCTGTGGCCAACAAGTTGGGCAGCTTTGGCAAGAGCTTAGGCAGCAAGCTTAAGAAAAATGTAGGGGGTTTAATGACGGGTAAGACGGCAACGGGCAGCGGGGGCAAGCCGTCCGAGGGCACAGAGAAGAAGAAGGGCTCTCTGCGGGGTCGCAAGGGCAGCAAGGATGGCTCACCCTCTGTCCAAACTGGTTCTGAAGACTCTGGGAAAGGCTCGCCCTCTTCGGGAAGCGAGCGGCAGAACGGCAACAGCAGCTCATCCGAGAGCGATCCGTACAAGTATAGCTCAGACGTCAAGGTGAGCCTGAGCATCCTTCGGGCAGCCATGCAGGGTGAGAGAAGGTACATTTTTGCTGGGCTTCTGACCACCAGCAATCGGCAGCCATACCAAGAGGAGATGATCCAGAGGTACCTGGCTGATGCTGAGGAACGTTTCCGGGCAGAGCAGGAGCAGAGGAGGGAGGCCGAGCGCAAGTCTGGAGTGGCAAATGGGGTACAGCTCAAGAAAGAGCCGTCGGATTTAGGCTACCGAAGCTTCGAGAGTAAAGAGGATGCAATAGACGGAGCTCCACCTACTTTCAAATCGGCCTCTTTCAGCCCGTCAATGTATTCAGGCGTGGTTCCCATCCCCAGACCCACTTTCATCGACCAGTCTCCAGCACCACTTAGCCAGCACCTGCACATGCATGGCTACATTGATGCCCGCCGACAGCTGGCAGGCGGCTCGCCCTCTACTTACCCCGGCCTGCCATCCTACGCCACCCTGCCCCGCCACTGCCCGCTGGCTCAAGGCCCTCCCCACCCTCAGTATCACCCTCCTGTCCCCTCCGCCACGGTGGTCAGCCCGTCCCGCGTAACGCCCTGCTTCACTTCGTACGCCCAGGAGCAGGAGCCACTCGACTTTCTGGCCGACTCACAAGGAGGAGGCTATGCTAACGGCCCGAGGGACCCGCGATCCAATTTGGACAGTCGCAGCGGGCCACCACCAGTCAGGCACTATTCGTTGGGCAGCGCAGGCGGTTTAGCTAGTCTGCAGTCCAGCCGGTGCCGGACGCCCAGCTGCAACTACTACGGACACCCGGAAACCTGCAACTACTGCTCGTACTGCTACAGGGAGGAGCTGAAGAGGAGGGAAACGGAGCCGGCCATCCACAGGTTCTAAACAGACACCTCATCGTGACTGGCCTTCTGAAGGACTCTGTGGTGCCCTCTTCTCCAGCGGAGCCTCAGCACCTCCTGTCCTGTACCGGAGGATTTCGCTTCAGACATTAGACGGGCCCTTCCTTTGTCAGCTTCCTTTGGAGGGACTCTAATCAGCCACGGAAATGGCTGCTGACATAAATCGAGGTGTCCATACCTCTGTTACATTTGCAGTGGATTTTAGGCAGGAGCTTTGTGCAAGCGCTGTCACCTCGTTTTTGTTTTTTTTTCGTGCATTGTTGTCATCGCCTTCATACATGTCTATGTATGAAGGGATTCGTTTTGGGGCACGAATTTGCTGCCGTGCATTGCATAAACACACCACATGCAAATACACCTCCCCCACATTTAACATTAACATCAAGCACAACCAGAAGATGCACATTTGTACAGTTACCTATGTACAAAGGACATTCAGTGACTTATTTGCGGCATGTCAGAGAGGGACGAGTAGGGTTTCAGTTTAGCGGACGTATTTTTTTGCCATACAATGTTAGCTAAATCATAGACGTCGGCACATCATGCTGTTAGCCAACGCTAACAACTGTTTTGTGTTGCTTGTAAGTCCGTAACCAAACAACACAATGCTTTAGCTCTGACCCCTTTCTCTCAAGCCATGTCCTGACTCGCTTAAATCGGGCCAGCAGGATGTTTTTTTGTGACTCGGTGCTCTTTTGCTCGTCTCGTACCTCCAAAAGACGCTCCGTGTCTAGCTAAACTCTTGAGGAGCAAAACCTTGACAGCCAAAGGTTTTACTGTATAGTCACTCCAAGTAGTGGACGCTTTTGTTAATATTGCTTTTACGTGAAGTTTTGCGGTGGAGACTTTTCAGGTCAAAGAGCAGAACTAGTGGATACAGCAGGCCTCTTCTTACATTGAAGAGTTGCTGATGCATACATGTTCAAAACAAGGACGGCTGACAAGGTGTCCCCGCAGTGGAGGTTGGAGGGAGAGGGGGTTATATTGCAAAACGTGGGGGGTAAATGAGCTACTTATTCAGTTTATGCTAGTTTTGGGTTGAACCCCTTGCATCCCAAGTCAATACTACCTTAATTTGAACCCAAAGTTAGCTTTATGTACATTTCATTTTATCTGATAACAAACATTTCCTTTTAATTTATACTAAGTGAAGACAACACTAGTCTAGTTCATGGAAAATGTGCATCCTGCTGTAATTAGCCTATTTTATAGAAGTCCTTACATTACATATTGTAATCCAATGGTTTGTCCCTAATCAACTAAAATACTCAGATGTTCGATTAGAAGTATTTCAAAATGTCTTTTAAGGCGATATATAGCGAATATATACCCTAGACATGCTGTTAATCCCCTCCGAAATACTAAAGATGGGTCAGTGGACTTTTCTCTGCACAAAGTCAAGCACTTTTCTAATGTCCAGAGGTCGAGTGTGGTTGCGTGCTTTTTCTTACGTTTGTGTTTGGTGTGTTGGTGATGAGGATGATGACTATACTAGACTGTTCTGCTGCTGTCTGGCTGTCGGACGGCGGCTCGGTCCCACGTTGGAGGCACGGTTTTTCAAACTCCACAGCGGAGTTTGGCTCTGATTCGTGGACTTCTTGGCTTTAGGTGCCACTGTGTTGCGCTCAACCTTGCTGTTTCCTAGTTGCCTTTTTCAGTCTCGGTCCAGTCCTTTTGGAGATTGTTGAACTGAACTTAATTGTCAGTTTTTTTGTTTTTTTTTCTTTTATTTCTTTTCTTTTTTTTTTTGGCCGTAAATGCACTGATAAAGGTCACGCAATGGAACATTTATCATTCTCCTTAGTTGATAAGTTGCATGAAGCCACATACATTGAATACTGCTTTTACTACATACCTGCACGTTGAATATCTCCCGCTGGTTGAGACAAATAGTCTCCATTATTTAAACGAGACTGTGTTCCCTGTTATGTGAGCACAGAGGGGATGTCTTTGTACAGTTCACATTTGTTAGTTTTAAAACTGGTGTGTATGGAACCCTGTTAGAGGAATATTCCAGCGTTTTTCAACCATCTGCCACGTCTGTTGGTCTGTATGGTTGACTACCATGGACGATGTCATTTTCCTGTACTGTAAAAGAGCATAAACTCAAAACGGACTTACTAGAAGCCAGTGGGCAGTTGTTTTAGGTTGAAAAACACTGAAAATTTTATTTTAATAACATACTGAAACAGGGTTCCACATGCCAGCATTTCGCTCAGAAGTTACTTGTGTGCTAGTAGCGGGTGAAAGATATCTATGCCAGGTGACTGTAGACTCCACATTGGGCATGTCGACTTGATTAATTGGTTTAACTCTGTTTTGGCTGTGTCCTGTACAAAGTGTAATGTCTGTTGTACTGCTTAAAAATGAAAATCTATCAGACTAAGCTATCTAAGCTATCTAAACTACACTTAGTGCTTCTAAATTTGTCAACAGTGCTGCTGAAATTTGATCCTCGCTAGCACCACGGTTAATACCCGAGTCCTCGGCTGAATGCAATAACTCAACTAAAGGCATTTTTCTGTTGACTAAGACGTCACAGCTTGTCTGAGAGTTCCGCAATTTTCCCTTTTTTAGCGCACCCACAAATTTTGCACAACCACAATCTGAAAACTGACAAAAATATTAACATACCTCTTTTTACACAGTATGTATTAAGCATTTTTGCATTTGTTATGGATAAAGAGTTACTGATTCTGTTCTTGTTCCCATTTCACATTTTCAGCACTATATAACGCCTTGTGCAAAGGTTTTGGCACCCAGGTTAAATATCTGCTGTTGATTTTCTAATTGTACTTCCTCTACAGGGAACAAACATCACTTAAATATGTTATTTTTCTACGTTTGGTTCACAGTTTCCATTTATTTGTTAAATTCAACATGAATTCAACAAATACAACGTAGAATGTAACACATGCTTAACTTTTAACACATTTTCTCCAGCAAACAAACAGAAATCGTGCATTAAAATGTGTTCCCTATGCAGGATGTGTTAACTTAATTTCACTTTGATAATCAACAGAACTTTAAATTTTCCTGAACTTTTTGCATAAGACTGTATGTGTATGTAGTGGGGTCCAAAGGTCTGAGAACACCGAACAAGCGGAGTGAAAAATATCTTTGATATTTTAACATGAATTTCAGAATTTTGTTAGTATTTGGAACAGAGTTTACACAAGTTTGTGTAAAAGCCTCTAATGAGTGATCAGATCTGCTTGAGAGTCGTCTCAGCTGGAGATTTGCATAAATTTGAGTCGTGACCTGGAAATAGTGCAGAATCTCGAATCTTCATTTTATTGGTCACTTTTCTGTTTAAAATTTTTCAAAATTTTAAAATGTTCTGCTGGTTTAAATGGAAAAAATCCCAGATTTTCAATGTGCTCCCAGACTTTTGAACCACACTGTATCTATATAAAGGCCCCTGAAGTAAATATGCAAGATTTTTGGAGACCTGTGCAAAACTCAAAGGCAAATTTGTGCCTTTACAGATGAATTTGATCATGTACTTCACTGGTTTGTCCAGTGGATGGCGCAGTCGTATCATTTTTCTGAAGTTCTTCACTGCATGGCTTAGATCAGCTCAGATCATCAAAGACCATCACTTTAATCCCCAAAAATAGAAAAGAGGATTTGCATTTTGCAGTTTTCACCAGAAATACAACTTGTGCTGCTTTTTTTTAATTATTATTTTTATTTTTTGGACTGGAGAGTTTTCTCTGAGTGAGGCACATTTCAGTGTATTGCACATAATGATGGACTCTTTTACAGCTTGTATAGACCATAACGTCTGCTCGGACGTCCGATTACTACCCTGCTAACTCTCAAACAGAACGTTACTGTGTGTGTATGTATGTATGTGAACGCTTAGGATAGATTGTTCACTCGCAAAAGTATTGCAGCTTAAAGCCACAAGCAAGAAATCGTCACTGAAACGACAGCTAATTTCTGAACGAGTGATCTTTCCTCTCTTCACAATGTAACTGTAGCTCACATTTAGCTCGTTCATTATTTAAAGAACGGAACGCTTCTTAAGACACATCGAGCGTCGGACTTAAACAAGACTGCAAAGCATTTTTTTGTATTAAAGATGACGGTTGTACAAATACGTTCGAGTTATTTTTGTAAACCAAAACCAGTTTTACAGTGTTTTTTAAAAAAAAAGATGAGAATGTATCATTTGCGGGACACTAAAGCGAAGGGGACGAGAAAGCGGTTGCATTCGCCCGAATTTGTAGTAGAGTCAGTATTCATTGGGGTGCGCGTTTCGGCTGACCACCAAGAGCCTCTCGGACGCTCTGGTTTCTCGTGAACACACTAATTTCTTCCTTAACGACCTGACGAGATGCTATGATTTGAAAAAAGTATATATATTTATAGTAAGATTTTTCAGAAGTTTCCTTTTGCAACGTTTAGTTCCGAAACTAGGATGTTCTTTCGTAGTTGCCGAGCGGACGGGCCTCCCCGAGTTCCATACATGGCTTCTATTTTTGACCTTTGTGTAAAATATTTTGAGTACATTTTTAAAGATTTAAACTTAAAGTTGGCAGTGACTGCACCTCCTATCGGATACGGTGGGCTTCATTTTGTTATTATGTAACGAACTGACTATTTTTATATTGTACATTTTCATGGATGTGACAGAACTGCAGTCATCAGCATCTTCTAGTTTGCATGAGACTGAAACTGTTGCATGTACAGTACATGGCAGATGCAATTCATTCAAACCAAATTTGTGCGATACTTCTGGTTAATTGGGCAATTTGTGTTCTCATTTCTTTCTTTTTTTTTTCGAGAGGCAAGCCCAGGCTGTGTGTGGCAGTGCAATCGAGACAGAAAGAACATCTGGTTTTTATGTTAGTTTTGTTTTTTTTGTTTTTCTTTTTGCACCGTTTGAATAAAATTCTCATTGTATTTAAACACGAACTTACAGTGTTTGCTTGTTTTTTCCTTACATACCCTACAAAGACTTTTTTGCCAACTAATAATCTCTTTTAACAGAATTCTGCATTCAGACTTAGAGCTGAGTATCAGTACTTCAGTACTTTCAGCGTCAGTGAGCCGGTAAGCATGCTTGTTCCATTAGAGTTAAGAAAGGAGCAGGGAAGCTTATTGGATACAGGTTGGAACTAAACTCTGCAGGAATGTAGCTCTCCAAGACTGCATTATGGCACCTAATGGTAACAGCAACACTGTTATAATACTGAATGTCATACGTAATGATGTTATCTCAATGACTGCATATGACATGTGCCATGACATTTTTATGGCATGGTTATTTCAGTGTCATGTAGCAGTGTTTAAGTAGAGTGTTACCATCTAAAAAATGCCATCTAAATTCTACAAGCATGTTGATGTGAGCGCTTCTTGATTAGACTGTAATCTGTCGCAGTCAGTAAATATAATCACCACTCACTGCTTTTGGTTTGTAGGATGAATTCCACCAATTTTTCAACAGTTTTGCATAAATCAAACAAGACTGGTGTGATGTGAAAGGGTGCGTTATAGAAAAGCTCGTATTTTCTTCACAGGTGCTGATAGGAACCAGGGGTTGCAGGCAAATATAGCCGTTTTATTTACTATCCAAAACCACCAGTGGACCTACACGAGTTTTTATACATCGGTAATGATAAAATACTGAACAGTGTGAACTAATACAGTCATGTGCAAAACACTACCAGGCCAATTGAATGTGTTGGTGAAAATAAGCACATCCTCTACAGAGAACACCCTTAAATATAGCATTTTTCTACTAATTGTAAAACACAAGAGTTTAACATATTAGAGAAAAAAAAATATATGAAATGTGGCATAACCTTTGCACTGGCCACATTTTGATTAGTTTTATTTCCCCATTATGTTCAATTCAGCAAATAAACAGTAATTGTGCAATAAAATGTGCTCAAGTGTGTTCTAATAACTTTGTTCGAGGGAGCTTCTAGAGGTGGACATCTGGTTCCTATCACCACCACTGTGAACAATTCTGACTTGAAGTTTCTCTAATACAGAGCATTTCACACCAAACCACTCTGAATGACTCTCAACCATTTAATTATGCAGAAATTCGTAAAATTCCCCAGGAATCGGTATCAAAGTCAAGATACCAGTTTTGGTATTGGATCAAAAACTTTTGAGCGATACCCTGCCCTGCTCGGCCTGCTGTTTATTCTCTATGATTCAAGAGCAGTGATGCTCTTTGTGTTTATGATTCAAGAGCAGTGATGCTCTTTGTGTTTATGATTCAAGAGCAGTGATGCTCTTTGTGTTTATGATTCAAGAGCAGTGATGCTCTTTGTGTTTATGATTGAAGTGCAGTGATGCTCTTTGTGTGGTAAGGTTTCCTCTATAAAGCAGTATTTTTAACTGTCATGGGACATTTGATGTGTACATGAACATGTTTGATCTGAAGTGCTCCATTCTAGAGACACTTGCTGGGTCAGAATTGTTCACACAGTTGTTTACAGTGGTGGTGATAGGAACCAGACGTCTGAAGAAGTTATTGGCTCTAAAAGCTACATCTCAAAGTTTTACGATTATTTAGAACTTGTTTTTTGGCCACAAGTGTATGTGTGTGTGTGTGTGTGTGTATATATATGTGTATATATATATATATAATTTTTTTTCATATATTCATGGTTGAGGGTGTTGTAAGGCAAACTAGTCTTTTTCTGATTTACCACTATTTCACCATCATCAACATCACATATAAAATCCAGAAGACAAGTGTAGGTTCATGTAGGTTCACTGGTGGTTTTGGATAGTAAATAAAATGGCTATATTTGCGATGCAGACATCATGACCCCTGGTTCCTGTCACCACCACTGTAACAAAATCGGTAGATTTGTAATCAAAACACTGAACCGATGGCTTGTTTACATCTCAACATTTGAATTATGCAGAAACTTTGAAAAGTCGGTGGAAGTAGACCACTTTAGATAAACAGTTCTCTTTGCTCGTTGGTTCAGTACACACAAAAAGATGGTTCTTCAAGGGTTCTTTAGTAAAGACAATGGTTCTGTATAGAACCATGATCACTCAAAGAACGATTTGCATGCTTAAAAGGTTTTGTGCATTGTGAAAGAGTTCTTCAGATTGATGGGGAGTGTGTTTCATATGGTTCTATATAGAGCCTTTTCAAAAAGGTTCTATATAGAGCCATCTGTAGTACATTCTCCGTCAATTTTGAGAACACTTTCACAAGGCAACGAACCCAAATGGTTCTTTGAGTGTCCATGGTTCTATATAGAACCATTTTCCTTACTTAAGAACCCTTGAAGATCAGAGAGATAGCATGTATGGCTTTGGGAGCTTCACAAAATGGCCTTTTCTGTTCTAGATAACTTCAGTAGATCGCATTTATCCTCTGAAGTAAACTACCCAGCATGATTTAGTTTTGAAACCAGGGCAGCCTTACTAACAAAGAGTTATGAACTGCATATTGAACCAAGATGAACGTTGGGTGGATCACATTTTCTCATTATATTCATGAATATTAGAAACAAAATTAATGAAATAAAAACACAAAAGTGCAATATTCTCACTAATAGTCTAATGAGCTCAGATTTCATGATATGCCACCACATATTTCTACATTACTGATATAAGAGTCAATGTTAACTATTAACTACAGCATCTGCCCATTGACTTCTATTATAAATGTGCCTGTAATCAACAGGTTTATCTATTTATCTTACTCAGTAAAAGGAAACTCATCAAATCAGTTTATGGTGATCAATGATCTGATATAGATGCATCAGATAGAGGTTAAGTTGCTGCTTTTTAAAAACCCTGCTGATACAACTTGAATTCACCCACATAATCGGTAATGGGGAACACTTTCAGATTCACTGCCATTCATGTTTTAATTATGCTCTGTGAATATGAATCCTGCATATTCAGTCTGAAATATATGTAGCGCTGGGTCAGCCCACTCGGCCATGATAAATTCATAGTGAGAGTCTGATGAATTAGTCATACGGGCCCGTTTGTCTTTGGGATCGGTTTTCATTTCTTTTTGGCTTTGCGGGTATCTGTTTCAGTAGAAGCTCAGTGGGCTCAGAGTGGACACAGACCGCTCACATCAACACCGCGTCTGGATAAAGCTCTGAAAAACTCCCACCAGCGCTGCCTCTCTTATCCGCGTGGATATTACCCGGCAGAATAGCTGGGATATGATTCTTTGATACAGCACTGATAAGGTAATTAGTGAAAAGTTGAGTCATCTCTTGTATAAAGTCACACCTTTCTCAATTCCAGGCACTTGAATGAGCTACACTGGAAACAGGTGGGTAGTAACTAATTATACTTAGTTGCATGAACTTAAAGGTGAATTACAATATTATTTTTAAAAAATGTCTGCATGAATAAAACATTGAGCTGTTAAGAAAGTCATTCAGAGTGGTTTGGTGTGAAATGATCCATTGTAGACAACTCTACTAAGTCAGAATTGCTCATAGTGGGGGTGAAAGGAAGCAGACGTTGGCTTCAGCATCTGCCCATTGACGTCTATTATGAGCGCGTTTTGAATGAACTGGTTTTTCTGTTTATTGCACTTTGTACATGGAAACTCATCAAAACAGTTTGTGGTAATCGATGGTCCAATAGAGATGCATCAGATAGAGATTGAGTTGGAAAGCACTGAAATATTCCTTTAAATTATTTTGTGGCAAGACTTTATAGTGCAATTAGTGCACAATGCTGTTCACAATATGAGTGATGGAGAATAATAAACAACGCTTGCTGCCTTTTTAACACCCTGCTGACACAAGTTATGATGATTAGCTTACAAATACACCCGACGTATTGTTTTACTGTACTTTTGAGGTAAAGGTTTTGTCTAATACTTGAAAATCACTTCCGCAGTGGAGTCATGACGCCTGGTTCCTATCACCACCACTGTAAAGAAATCTAAACCATTAAGTTTCTCTACACGGAAGTGTTTCACATCAAACCACTCTGGCTTTGTTCACATCTCAATGACTGAGTTATGCAGAAAGTTTTAAAAAATTTGTGGAATTTTCCTCTTCAACTCCTTGAGACCACCGGTGGTTCCAAAATGCACTTCATCATGTTCTTCATAACTGTCATATTTCATAAGCTACATTCAAAAGGTGGGGGTCGTATGAGAGCTGTAACTGTATTCTTTCCAGTCAAATAGATGGGTGATGTAATTTTAAACCCTTATAATAAAAGAAGCTGAACTCACAATTTTTTTTTCTACTGAAAGTCGACCCATTTTTCCACAAATCTGGGCTATAAACTATAAACAGATGGCGTCTCTTCAGTGATCTGCTCTGTAAAAACTATTTTTATAAAAAAATGCGAAGAGCGTCTAAGATTTTTGGCTTTCAGCAGTGAATTGTAAGCATGTAGCAATATGTGTGATAATAAAACACATGTTCTGTTAATTTGAGGGGAACCTTTACAAAAATCCATCCATCCATCCATCCATCATCTAAACCGCTTATCCTTCTGGGTCGCGGTGGGGTGCTGGAGCCTATCCCAGCTGTCATCGGGCGGAAGGCAGGATACACCCTGGACAGGTCGCCAGTCCATCGCAGGGCCCTTTACAAAAATAAATAAATAAAAATGTACATTTATTTCATGCAGTTACTGAATAATTTGCCTTACGATTTGGTCATGTAAATTCAGATGGACAAACCAAAATATACCCTGGAGAATAAGAGGTCAAGCACAATTTGTATGGAATCATAAGTGATGTTTTCAAAAGGCACCTTAACTTCTGCTCAAGTACATTTGTCAGGAAGTTGTTCTACCTGTCTCTCAGTTTCACTTTAGTCTTTCACATTCGGTTCCCATTTCCTTTTTCAGCTTTAATTTTGTTCTGTTGGTTCAGCAACTGCCTTTGCTGATGTTCACCCCTCTCACTTTAGCATTAGACCCAAAAGAGAACAGTAGTGACTAACACACTTCAGTTCCTATGCTGGTAGATGCTGGATGTACTAAGCAGTTTCACAGCCGCTCTCAAAAGAAACGGTTCGGTCAGTAGTGCTAATGAAAGGTAAGTCATTAGCATTATTCATTCATCATGCTATTTGGTGACTGCTAGCTTCTGTTCGTTGCATGTATGCTTGAACTGTGTATGGGTGAAGCAGTGTTTGGTACTTTAGTACTTCCAAAGTTTTTTAAAGATACTTTTACTTGCATCAACTTTTTGCTGAAGTAACAGCAGTTTTACTTCAGTTTGGTTTAGGCTATGCTACTAAGATAGTAAACAGTTTTGGGCTGATTCTGGCTTTCCTACACAATTGGTGGTTGACCATCGGGCATGTGGGCCAGAACATTACCAGATGCTGGACAGCTTAATACAGTCTATTTTTGTGGGCCAATTTTGGTGTGATTGTTGTGAACCAGCAATGAAGTTGGGCCAGGTTTGGGCCATATATATTAGTTCTATTCGCTTTAGCATGTGGGTCAGATCCGGCCTGAGGAACCAGCCATATACTGGGCCAGAACAAACCCAGGAATGTGGCCCACAAGTGGGCCAGGCAAGTTTTGCTAACTGGGTACCCACCTCTGCATGTGGGTCATTATCTGTGGGGGAGCAAAGGATTGTTTCTTAGTTGTGACTAGACTTGGCTAGAAGCAGACAAAGGTTAGTAGTAATTACTTAAATTCACTCAGTTATGTGTCTGCAGGTACAGTTTTCATAGATTTGTACTTTTCTGACGATTTCACTGCTTCTACTTTTGTATCGGAGAGAAAAGGAAGCTTCCTTTGTCCTCAGCTCCATTTTAGACCTTTATTTTTAGATGCTATTATTCTTCTTGCGTTTGTTTTCATTCTGTTCTATTGGTTTAGCACCTGGACTGCTTTTTATTTGTTGCTCACACCTCTCACTTTTAGCTTCAGCATTTTATTTTAGACCAAAAGGATCCCAAAAAAGAGGCGAATAGAGCCTAATAAACTTCAGTTGTTAATGCTGATAGATGCTGGCTGTACTAAGAGGTTCCACTGCAGTTCTAGAAGTTCCTCAGCACTTAAGTAGTTTTTGAAATGTGATTTTTTTTTTTACTGTTTTTTATTAGTCTATTAGGCCAAAAAAGAAGAACATTTGCAAATCAAACAAAGGCGCTGCTGGGGTTCTCAGAACAATAGACTGACCACTCCAGAGTCCAGACCTCAACAGCACTGAATGTGTTTGGGATTACTTGGGTTGCTAAACAAATTTCTAAGACTAACTTTAGAGGTGTGGAAAAATATCCCTGCGGATTTCTCTGCAAAACTGAAAGCAAGACTCCTGAAAAGAATGGAAGCTGTAATAAAGGGTTTGTAAAGGTTGGACACAGCAAATACTGAAAAAATGATGGATCTGGTTGATGAGGCTGAAAAATGAATAACTTGGTCTCTGACTTTTGCACAGTAAGTTATTTGCTCAGGCAAGCTAAGAGAACATATACGGTCAGCCGTAACCTCCTTGTATCTACACTCATTGTCCATTTTATCAGCTCTACTTACTATTTAGGTGCATTTTGTAGTTCTACAGTTACAGACTGTAGTCCATCTGTTTCTCTGCATACTTTGTTAGCCCCCTTTTACCCTGTTCTTCAGTGATCAGGACCACCACAGAGAAGGTGGATCATTCTCAGCACCGCACTGACGCCGATGTGGTGGTGGTGTGTTAGTGCGTGTTGCGCTAAGTGGATCAGACGCAGCGGCGCTGCTGGAGTTTTTAAACACCTCAGTGTCGCTTCTGGACTGAGAATCGTCCACTAACTAAAAACATCCAGCCAACAGCGTCCTCAGTGACCACTGGAGAATGACTAACACAAACTGTAGCAACAGATGAGCTACTGTCTCCGACTTTACATCTACAAGGTGGACCAACAAGGTAAGAATGTCTAATAAAGTGGACACCTTTAAAAACTGCAGCGTCTGATCCACACATTAAATCACCACCACATCAGCGTCACTGCAGTGCTGAGAATGATCCGCCACCCAAATAATACCTGCTCTGTGGTGGTCCCGTGGGGGGTCCTGACCACTGAAGAACAGGGTAAAAGGGGGGTAATGAAACAAATGGACTACGGTCTGTAACTGTAGAACTACAAAGTGCACCTACATGGTAAGTGGAGCGGATAAAATGGACAATGAGTGTAGAAACAGTGCAGCATGAACCAAAACGCATTTCAGATTTCAGGTGTGGTGACCTTTAGTGGGTGCAGTGTGGTTTACGCTCCTCTAGTGTGGTTTATGCTCCGCTGTTCGTATGTAGGTAATGGAGCAGTGGATTGTGGGCGTTTAGGTGTGAGTATTACGCACAGGTTCAGAGAAGCGGAAAAAAGGACTTTGAACTGCATCTAACAGGCCTCCGGTGTTGATACCGTGGGTGCGTGAATGCACATCTCAGCCTTCTTATCCTGCCTCTCACACAGCGAGCTGGCCCTTTAAGAGACAGCCACCCGACTCTCTCTCTTTTTGTGTTGCTGTGTAACGCGCCAGTGTCATTTTCACTATGGCGAAGGCGTAAACAAAACGGAACGGCTGGGTTCTTTATTTTTACCGTTACTCGCTCCGTGTGGCTCCGCTGAGGCGAGTTCGGTCCGGTGGTTTTCTCGGGCGAATGTGAGCTTTTAGAGTCAGGACTGTTTTCGTCAGGCGACATGACCGAGTCTGGTGACGGTGCTCAGAGGCTCCTCGTTAGGCTGAGGCGGGGAGGGAATCTGGGCTTGAGGTCGAGTCTCCGCTAAACTGCAGCTTTTTTCCCCTCAAACCGACCCTCTGTCCAGAGAGATATGGGGTCCAGTGAGCTCTGGAACTCGTTTAACTGACCCACTTTCACCTCCGTCCGTTTTCGCCTGGCTTTGTAGCTGAATTTGAACACTTTTTTTTTGGTCAAGATGCTGACGGGCTCGAAGACGACCTTTAAAGTGAGGCAGATGCCAGACATAAAGGTAAGAAAGCTGGGGAAGGGGGACTTTTAAAAACTTTCTTTTCTGTTTTTTCAGCCTCTGTAAGTCAGTTTTGGGACAAAAATGCCTCATAGAAACACTAATAACAGGGAAAACTTCGTATTTAGGAGCCCAAGAACCACAGTTAGTCATGGAGTTTACTAGGCTCGTAATTTAGTGAGTCATTTTTTCGTGGGAAGTTCGGAACAGATGATGTTTTGTGGTGATGCTTTAGCCAAAAAAGTGAAAGGTTCTGCCAGCTTTTTGCAATTTTTAAGTGCTTTTAGTAACTTTTTTTCTTATCTGCTTACACCTTTTTTGTGTGCTGGAAGAGAAATAATATATACAGATAAAAAACCAGCAGAAATGTGTTGAATACAGTTTTACTATATACTACTCTCTTAAATGTTGCCAATGGTTAAAGGGCAATTCCACTCATTTTTGAAAATTTCTGCATAATTCAGTGGTCGAGATGTAAACGTATGATATGAAGAGTCATATGATATGAAGTGGTTCATTTCTTTACAGTGGTAGTGATAGGAACCCGGCATCCTGATGTTTACAACATGAATATAGCCATTATATTCACTATCCAAAACTACCAGTGTGTCTTCTGTGTTTTTATATGTAATGTAGATGATTAAATAGTAGAAAATATGAAAAAATGAATTTTCTCTGGGACTGTTTTTGTCTTAGAACACCTTTTGTGTATCCTTCCACCATGAATGCGTTCAAATAAACTGATTAAAATACAATTTAGTGCAAAAACTTTATCACAAAACTACAGTATAACAATGTCTCAGACATCAGGCTGAGTATTCATAACTATTTCATGTAATAACTTTCTGTGAGGGAGCTTTTAGAGGTGGACGTCTGGTTCCCATCACCACCACTGTTCTGACTCAGCTAGTTTCTCTAGAACGAAGCATTTCGCACCAAACCACTCTGAATGAGTTTACATAGGTTTACATATTAACCATTTAATTATATAGTAGTTTTGAAAAATCAGTGGAGATTCCCTTTAAGCTGATGTCTGAGTATGTTATTGTTGTACTGAGACACTGTGCCTATAGTGGCTAGAGCTCTGACCAGGCCACAAAGTGTGAATCAGACAGTCAACAGCAAGGCAAGCCTGGTTTGCTACACTTTAGATTGGAAAACAGTCTAAAGCTCAGTGTGATTATAATTGGCTTATTTCAGTTGTGATATGTCAAGCAGTTTGTCAACGTAATGACAAAAACGTCTGGTTCCATTGACTTACATTAAAAGTAAAGTATGTTTTTTTCTTCTTCTGTAAAGGAGATACAAGGTTTTCTTCTGAAAATAGTGACATGTTTAACAGCAACTAAATATAATGTCAGATATTTTAGTGTAGGTATCCACTGTTTGCCTTTAATACAGCCTCTTTCTTTTCAAGAGACTTGCTTCCAGTTTTTCAAAAGAAATTTTGTATGGATATTTTTCCACATCTCGAAAATTCAGTCTGAGACGTTGGTTGCATTTTATGCATTTTACAATCAAAGTAATTCCAAACACATCAGTTTCTGTTCATATATATATATATATATATATATATATATATATATATATATATTACATTACATTACAGGAGCATAGTGTGATAATGATTAGCATGTAATATGTTGTACAGTACTGTTCATTACTAAAGTAAACTCGCTCTTATTTGCTCCTAACACTGCTCAAACCAGGCTTGCCTTGCTGTTGCAGTCATATTTATTCAGACATTTTTTTCCTCAACATCATGCTTAGTTTTCTCTCTATTTTCAGTGCACCAATGTATATTTCATCCCTTTAAAATGCCTCTTTCACTTCTCCTGTTTGACTTTGGGAGATTTATTTTGGCGCAGCCCTGTTTCATTTCGCACAATAGTAATTAGGCCACTGTACCCCGTGTTTAGGTCTGCTCTACTAAAGGAGCACTTTATGGTGAAGCTGTAGGCCTGTAATCTTTTGTGTGTGTCTCCTGAGGTTACGTTGTTGTGGAAACGTCAGGAACTGAGTTCCTGCTTCACGGCTGCTTTACACAACATCTGTGAGTCACTAAAGATGAGTTTAGGGTTGGAAGTTTTCACCACTGGTTTGTTTTACCTTATTTTCATTGTTTGTCTATGTTAACTGGCATTTGCACCCGTATCTTCTGTATCTTCTGCTGTGGATGTGGAATAATTAGTAGTAGCACAGAATTTTGTTTGTGATATTAGGATCAAGCCACAATTTGATTCTTGGTATTGACCCAGAGTTTTCAAATTGGCATGGCTAATCTTTTCTTTCTGTTTCCTGTTTCGTGTGTAGTGGGTTTGGGGTTGACCCTATTTGTCATGTTTACTTGGTGAGTATTAGTGTTGGTGCCTGTGTTGTCTGCTGTTGACAGGGAAACATCAGTGTTATTCCAGAATTTTATTGTTAGTATCAGATAAGATTTATTATTATTAGTATCTGACCCAGAATTTTATTGTTGGTATCCACCTGGAAATTTTACTTTTGGTTCTTGACCCAGAATTTTATTGTTATTAACAATGTGGAATGTTATTATTGGTATCGCCCAGAAATATCATTGTTATTATTGGCCCTGACTTTTATTATTAGTATCAACCTGGACTTTTATTATTGTTATGGACCCAGGACTAAGTTGCATCGGGTTTGTGAATATGCTCGCAGCCATTGTCTGTTTTATTTTTTAATATTTCCTTGCGACAACCAAATATGCAGGTTTTTAAGCAGCGGTTTCTGGCTAACCGACTCGACAGCAACATCAGTATAAACGTTCCGGCAGTTGTTGAGTCTCACAGTCTCAGTGAACCAGAACTGTGGCCATTGGCTTCATGTTCAGAGTTAAAACCAGGGTCATGATGAGCAACCAGCCCCAGAATTTTATTAATAGTATCGACTTGGAATTTTCTTATTGATATCAGCAAAGAATTTTATTATCAGGATTGGTCCAGACTTTTATTTTTAGTATTGACCAAGAATTTTATTATTGATATCAGCCCAAAACGTTTATTATCGATATCGATTCAGACTTTTGTCAGTATCAACTTAATTTTTTTTTATTGGTATCACCCAATAATTTTATCATGAGTATCAATCCAGACTTTTATTGTCAGTATCGACCTGGAATTATAATATTTATGTCAGCCAAGAATTTTATTATCAGCATCAGCTCAGACAATAGTTCTTTAGTAAATAAAACGGTTCTATAAAGAACCATGAACACTGGTAGGGTTCTTTGCATCATAAAAGGGTTAAGAATGTGTTTAGATGGTTTAGATGGTTCACTATAGAATCTTTTTGAAAATGGTTCTAAATAGCACCCAGAAGGGTTCTTCTGTTCTTACTTGCCAAGCTTGTAACAATAGAAGAACCCTTTTTTTAAAGCTATATAGAACTCTTGTCAAAAAGCTTCTACGTAGAACCGGCTGCAGTACATATTCCATCAGTCTGAAGAACCATTTCATGATGCAAGGAACCCTTTAGGGTTCCTTCAGTGTTCATGGTTCTTTATAGTACCATTTCCTTTGCTGAAGAACCATCTTTTTTAAGAGTGTAGTGTCAACCTCCTTCTCCTGCTGGAGCTCTGTTCCGCTCCTGAACTTTTCTCTGGTTATTTTAAGCCGCTGTGGAGGGGAGCGCGCACCCTCCTGCCCCGCTCACGCGCACAGCAGTTATGATGGCCTCAACATCTGGCTGTTGCCATGGCAACTGCAGGCAAGGAGGAGCACATGACGTGTTGGTTTTACCACGGCTCTGAATATATATAAAACAAAGGAATCCGCAGAAACACAGTCCGTGTGTACGCGGCCTTGAGCAGTGCGAGTGGGTGAGCGAGGCCACCCAGGCTCGTGTTTGGGTTGAGAATTTGTTCGTTTGTTTCAGGGTTTGCACTGAAGTTTTATATAAAAGAATGGAAATACAGTCTTACCACATTCTGTCTTTTCACCAAGAGTGCGATCCGCCTACTTCAACCGCTCGTCCATTTTTAGAAGGAGGATCAATTCTTACACATACAGTGCAGTATCAGAGTGACACTTCAAAAACCAAGACCATGAATCACTGCAGCTGGAAGGGTGTTTTTTTGATTCTGCAGCAGCAGATGTTTTCAAACATGATCCATCTGTTACTGTCCATCCAGAGAAAGAAAGTAAGATTGTAGTGATGTTGATTCAGTATTGAACAATCAGAAAAATGAATGTTCAGAAAAGTGGATATCGTTGCTGTACAAAGAAAACCAAGTATCTCCAAAATAGTGACTTTACAGGAGACGGTAAAAACACTCTGACCTTTCAATGTAAGTTCATGTAAAGTGGTTTTATTCCAAGTGATTTCAGAGCATTTCTATTGGTCCATTCATCATGAAATTTTCGCACAGTGTAAAGGACAGCTGGTGTGTTGAAATGATGTAGAAAAGTGAAAATCGACAAAAATGGAGATACGTGGTTTTCATTTGACAGCGACGTTATGCTCCTCAGTCTCTTCCGTCATCTTGGTGCATCCTGTCGTGTGGGTAGGGGGAGGTTGTTTTTCCTCCTCCTAGAATTTGGCTCATCAGTTTAACTGTCCTGTCAATCGTTTGCAACTTTTTAAATACAAGTCTAAAGTGGACAAATAGGCTGATTAGCTAATTGGCTAATCTTGCTGTTGGCTTGCTTGCTGGCTATATTTACTTAGTAGCTAACACTGGTTGTACTGTTGAATCATTACTGCGCTCACACTCACACAAATGTCTACAGTTACACAAAGTCAAGTGTAGAGCTGGACAAAGTTTTACACAAGAGTGAAAATATAAGCAAAAAAAAACGCTCTATGCTATTATTAGCTACATGGCTAACACATAAACATTACTCAGCTTAGACCGTTTTGTTATCATAAGTCCAGTGATGTCTCACTGATTGCATTTACTGCTTTCTTTTATTTACATGTATTTGCTTCAATCCAGCACCCCAAATTGCATTTGCTGCAGCTTAATATGACTGCAAAATCCGACG